GTGGGCTTGGCCCCTTGGACAAGGCTTAAACCTGCCTTCCAGCCAGAAGTCCACCGCACCTCTGTGCTCAGTGGTTTCGCCCTGGCCCCAGCTCTACCTGGTAATGCCTGGCTCTGGAGTTTGAGTTCTGTGGCCTCTTCCTACCTGACAGACATTCACGTCAATTCTTCTAACGTGTTCCAAAACCAATTCTTCTAAGGCAGAATTCTTCTAGGCAGGCCGGCTGCTGAGCCACTGGGATATAGAGGAGACTGAGGCATTTGGTGTCCCAACCAACTCTGTCACCTCCCTCCTCCGAAGGGGTGGAAGTCCCCAACCCCTCATAGTCCCCTGTGATTATGAGGATTCCTACACCTGCTTCAGAGGAGCCCATGAGAGATGCACAGAGCAAGCTGGGGCCACTCAGGCCCCCTCTGAGAAAAGGAAGAAAAGAAGGGATCTGGGTGGAGGTCACTCCACCACTGATTTCCTCACTCAGGTCCAGCCTGTCAGAGAGTAGAGTGCAGCAGTCAGACCAGGTATCTGCTTTACCCCCTACCCTCCTCCTTGGGGGTACTGCTGTGATACTGGTTGGTTCTGGCCCTAAGGACACTCAGAGGACTGTGTTAGTGACTGTGATGTCCCAGCATCCTGCCTGCCCAGCTGAGGCCTGGGATCTTAGGAGTGGGGCTCCAAGGCCACAGGGCCCAACTGAGGAATCTTCCACCTCCAAACCACTCCTCCCTCTGACAGACAGCGGTGGGCAGAGCAGGGAGGAGCAGAACGGGCCAACCCTTTCCTCTTTGCTGCATAGAAATTACCAGGGCTTTACACTTGATTCCAGTTCTGTCTCTGGCACTTATTAGCTCTAAGACTTTGGGGAAGTCATTGAACAGCCCAGGGTCCCTTCGCTCATGAAATGGGAATAGAACACAAACCTCGGTTGGTTGTAAGAGTTAAATGAGTCCATGTCGTGGTAGAGTTGAAGGCGCGCAGTAGGCACTCAGTGACAATTAAATTCCCTTGCCTTGTAAGTTTGGAATGAAACTCATACAATCCCGGAGAAGATGTGATGGGGGATAAAGGGAGGAGGGAAGCGCAGGTGTTGTGGTTCCGACGAATCCACATCAGGCTTCAGGTGACACCCTACAACTCCATGAAGTTGGAAAGAACTTTTCTTCTTATTTGTGATTTGTTCAGAAATGAAAAAAGAGGGAACTGAGGCCCAGGGACTCTGATCACTGGCTTTACTTTGGTTCCAGGACCAGGAGCTCATAGAATCTGGAGGGCCATTTGTTCCCACAGCCTGGGTGGATACGACCAAGGTCAGCCCACCTCCAGGACACATTGAGCCTCTGTGCTCCACACCTGCAGAGATGAATGAATTACCTGCTACCCATCCTCTCCTGGTCTCTGTCTCCAGAATATAAACCCCCAACAACACAACTGGCAAAGAAACTGGGCTCCAAGATATGACTACTACAGCCTTGCAATTTGTGTGGTCTGCTAAAAGAAAAATGAGGCCCCAAGGGAGGGGAGAGGGAAACAGAAGAATGTGTAAAGTTTTCCAACTAAAGAAAAGACACACACACACACACACACACACACACACACACACACAGAAAGAGGGAGGGAGAGAAAGTTAAAGTACTAAAAGTTTTTTGAGTTCATTTAACAACTCAATTCAACAAATTATATTTCCTACACAAACATTCTGAGGATTAAATGAACAATACAATACTTTTCTTAGCTCTTTGTCATCAAATGCTTTGCTGTAAAAGTTGTATTCCTGGAGAGTTGATATCAGAGCTTCTTGCTCCTTGTCAGTAAACATAAGAAGAGGCCAAACCTGTGTAAATTTAAATTACATAAAACCTTTCCCCCAACTGCCTGGTCTCTTAACAGCCCCTTTTCACTGAGCTCTGTGGTCTCGGAATGTAAATATCTTTATCTTAGCAGCACAGACTTTTGAAAATTTGACATAATAGGATTTCTCCCTCACAAGGCATATCAAACACCATTGCAAACTAAAGTCTATTTTACTTTTAACCAAGACTAAATCAAAGGGTCCTTTCTATGTTTATTTTTAGACTTTCTGTTCCCACACAACCAATGAAGTGTCCTCTCTGTCCATCCTGCCAACCGGAAGCCCTGCGAATCGGCCCCATCACCCCCAGAGTCGGCCCCAGAGATGAGAGTATGATGGGATTGTGAGAAAAGGCAGCAGGAACAGTTGGGGCTGCATCTCTGTCTGAAGTGGTCCTGGTGGAGTAGGGAAAGTGGGTGGACCACATGGGCAGATACCTAAAAGCAATAAAGAACCAACAGGTACTTAAATGAGGCAATGTAAGATGGAGACAAAAGTGACAATGATTTTAGCTTGTCTCTGTTCTATGAAGTTCTGGTTCAGTTTCAAGCTGGTGTAGAAACATAGAACTTCATGTGAATTGATTTCTAGAACCCTCATGCTAGAACAGTACATGTTTCTTGAATGAATAAATGAATGACACGTCAACCCAATGAATGAAAAGCAATATGAGAAAGGGAAGAATCTATTACAGATCAATGAACAGGAACCCAGGAGATTCCCCTTTGTCTCCCTTTGTCTCCTGACCCGGGGAGAGTGGCCAACAGCTGGAGCAGAGTCCCTAGCATGACACACATCCGAGCGAGCATGTCACCGTCGGCCGCAATTCCTTGGGCAGCTTGAATCATTAGCTTCCATGATATGCTCCCCACCTGTTGTAGCCTCTAGTGATCCCTCTCTTCTTGGAATCTCTACTTCCCATGTGAGATGTTTTCCTCATTTAGAGAATTAATCAGTACTGTTTTTAACTGTTGTGCTTCTTCCTTCCTTCTCTAGATAATACGATCCTTAAAGGTTGAGATGGCGTCATATGCTGCTTTTTGTGCCTACTTCACTGCACATTCTAAAGCTGAGTACATACGGAAGAATGAATCAATTAATGAAATTAATGAGCACACGCCAAGGCTTAAGGAGAAGGACATTAACTGCTTGGCTTGATGACAAAAAACAACATCACTCTTTGTGTTTCAGTCCCCAGCCCAGAGATGCAGTCGCCTTCCTCTTGTGTTGGGGGCCCACAGTGATGCACAGGCACCTGCAGCCAGTGCCTAAACCCCGCAGCTGGCGCATGCCCTGCCTGCACTTTATTCACTGCTCTTGTGAGCTGCAGTTGTGAGCTGCAGTGTGTTGCACCGGGTCTTCCACCCTGGGGAGTGTTTCACAGCTGTCCACACAGCCCAGCATACCTGCCCAAGACCCAGTCTGTTGAATCAGGGCTAAACACACACTTCGACGCCATCACAGGCAATGGAGCTCATGTCACACAAGGTCAGTCTTGGGACACTTGGGCCCTGAGTTGAGAGGGTGGGATCGGCCCTGGAGTGAGGGTCCACTTACAAGGACTTGATGTGAAAGTGGGTGGCAGGCAGCTGAAAAGACCCACGGAATTCCCCTTGTGCACTGTGACTTTCTCCATCCCGCCCTTTGGGGATTCCTCAAGATATGAGGGGACATTTCAGAGTGGGGCGTGGGACTCTGTCTGCCCAAGTGGCAGAATTCACCTCGGCTTTCGGCAAGACATGTTCAGTGGGCCAGATTTGCAAGATTTACGTGTAGAGTCTGGAAGATAGCCAGATTTGTAAAAAATCAACAGACACCGTCTCTCCAGAGGGGAAAGGGCTCCAGGCTCCAGGAGGCAGTGCCAGGGTGGTCCAGGCCGATGTCAGGAAACCGGACCTTCTGCTGCAGCGGGGAACCTAAGGAGATCAACGCTGTGGGATTTCTGTTTCACCGGCGTCGCCGGGACTTCAGCTCCACTGTGAAAACGACAATGCGGAGAAGAGGCAAGTGGCCACTAGATGGCAGCAGAGGGTAAGAAAAGTGAGTTCCAGGCGGCTGGGGTGGAGGGGGGGGCGTGTGAGGCTTGCAGCCCCTCCATTTTGCTTTACATCTTTAATGAGATATGCGAAGAAAATGAGTCCCTTACATGCCAGACACAGATGCCAGAGCATATGGAGAGATGCCGCACAGCAATATTTCTCTGGTTATTAAACAGGAGGCACCTAACTAGTCATTCACTGCATCATCATGCAGAGTTGTCCTTTGTGTCTTGGATGCCGCTGTTGACAAGGTAATAACAGGAGAAAGCAGTTGAGAAGACTGATGTAGGGACGTGGGCCTCTGGGCTCGCAGCATCGCCCCGGCGGGGTGCCGGGCGGGTTGCCAGCAAACGTGAGCAGCCCAGCCCACGGGGGCCACCTTGCCAAGGGACATTGTGTGGCCTCTGCTGCCAGACTCAGTCCAGGCCCAGCTTGGCAGCTAGAAAGGGTCTCCCTGGCAGTCCCTGAGGGCTCATTTATTCAGAACCCGATTACCACCAGACAGCTCTGGAGTCTGACCTTTGGCCACAAGCCCCAAATGGGAACGGGAGCTCCGGACATTTTAAAGAGCGAGGCATGCTTACTTTTCTGGCAGAATTGAAGACGCACAGTGTAATGAAAATGCACTCAAATGCACAGAGACAGGGGAACACTTTTTTCCACGCTGCCCTAAGCAAAGGTGGGGAGTCCAGCCCTGCTGACTGTGAAATATTTTCACTAGGAGAGTGGTTTCTCCTGACGGACTGTTACCAGGGCTGGGAGCAAGCAGGTACTGCTATATTTCATTTCTATATTCCACCTACTTTTCCACTCCCCACACTTTGCCCTACCCCCAGCCGCGCCGCCTGACCATTCTTTAGTTAATTCTCCCACCTTCCCAACCGAAGGTTTTATATAGCCATTCTTCATACAGAGAAACTGAGGCACAAAACTGAGATACAGCTTCAGGTCTCCCGGTCCCCATCCCTTTCCAAAAAGTTGAAACCTCTCCACGGTCTCCGGTGGAAAAGTAATAGCAAGATTTACCCTGCCACCATTTCCCTCCCTGTTTTGGAAAACAAGCCTATGTGCCAGAAACCTTCACTTGTCTGTGTGACCGTAGACAACTCACTTACCCTCTCCGTGCCTCATTTTCTCATCTGTAATTTGAGGGGCTGGTACTGGATGATGACTAAGGCCCCTTCCAGCTCTGCGATCCTGTGGCTTTAATTTCACAAGCCTCTGCCAGCCCTCAAAGAGTGTCACACATGATGCTTTTTCCAACAATAGCCACACTCAACAGGAGCAAGCAGCATTTCCTCCTCCAGTTGAGAAGAAATGTGGTCGTGGTTGGAGTCTTGTTGATGTTCTTTGTCCTCAGAGCAAGAGAAACGGGGAAGTTTCAGATGTTACTGACACTAACAGCAGGGCCTGGAGGTGGCCACACTCTTGTGGAAGAGACCACGCAGAGCTGTCTCGGTGGGCGGTGGAGATGTACGGGCAAGACCGGAGGATGTTTTAATAACTATTTCTCAATAAAAAGACCCATTTTATTCTGCACAGGGGTCTGGGGGCAAATCCAGGTCTCCCAGGAGGGATCGACTCTCGCCCATAATGGGGGATTGGTTCAGCTCAGCTGCTCTTACAAAGGGCTGAATACAGCATGCCATGGTGAAGGCAGCTCCCCACAGCTCCATGTGAAAATGACTCACAGCAGTTATGAATATCAAACCTCCTTTGATGTATTCCCAGACACGAGGAGCAGCCACAGTGGGGAGGAGGTGGACTCTGGATGCTAGCTCTGTGGGGTGGTGCACAGAAGGCCTGGGCACATCTGGCACCGTCCTGAAGCTCCAGGAGAAATCCAAGCTGCCTAATTACCCCAGGACAACAGAGCTCACTTTCATCCACCTCTCTGTCTCTCTCCCTCTTTCTCTTTCCGTCTCCAACAACAGAGGAATTAGATTCTCCAAGAATTACAACCTGTTTTTATACCTTCACCCTTCCCGAGGGGATAACAATTCACTTCCCTGAATAAAACTGGTTTTATTGAGCACAAAATGAATGCACCCCCTCACTCAGCATCTGCGCCAATTGCTTTAAAGCCATAGACCTGGCCCCAGTCAGCCAAGCGGAAGGATTTTCCCCTGTAATGGCCATTTCTAGACACTCAGCCTTTCAAGTGGCTGCATGGCACCTTGTTCTCCTAATAGGCTCTCAATGATGATTGAATACAAAGCCTCCAAGTCTCTCTTGTGTTGGCAGCTCCTGAGACCCAGTCAGTCACCACCGTCCAGAGCAGAAGACCCAGCCATGCCGACTGTATGGTGAGTGCCCAGGCCCAGAGCAAAAGGGGAGGGTCAGTCACTGCCACGTCATGCCTGTTTCACCTGAAAGCTTCTATATACGAGGAGGGTCTTCCCATTCTAGACAGGGTTCAAGAATATGTTGCTTCCTAGAAACTTGGGCAAAGTCTTTCCAGTTATAGAAGGAAGCAGCAAAGATGTCTAGGGAGGGAATCTGTCTAAACCCATGTCCGTGCATTGCTGTCTTATGAAATGGGGCTGATTTTATTTGGTAGTTAAGTTGGGCTTTGACTGGAAAACTCACGCACCTGCAGAGGTCTGCACATGCGCACATGGAAATACTAAAACACTCTAACTGAGCACTGACCATGTGCCAGGCACAATGCCCAGGGCTTCGCACACACCATCACCTCCAAGCCTCAAAGGTGCCTGGCGGGGAGGGCAGATATCATTATCCCTGTTTTACAGGTGAGGTGCCCAAGGCTCAGAAAGCCTAGGAAACTTGCCTAAAATTGAAAAACTAAAGTAAAAGAACTTGGATCCAGGATTGATGGATTTTTAAAGCATCATCTCTTAACCACCGTGCTGTGGGGCAACATGTTTATTATGTGTCGGAGGCACTGGAATTCTGAGGAGGAACAGGAAGGACAGGTTCTTGACTTCAGAAAGCTTGAGTTCAACCACTCACCAGCGCACACAGAGTTACTGTCACTTCTATGCTCCAAGACTCCTACAACCAAGGGGCCCATGTCCCATCTTTCCCTGTCACACTACTCTCAGACCTCCTGACCTTGATTACCAGTGCGAACATCGTGTGTACCATAAAGACTGGGGTCTTCTCCAGTAGAACTTCGGATGCTTGAATTTTACAGGCAACAATGTGAGCAATTCGACCACGGATGCATGACGCTATAGTTACTAAGCTCCTGAACTAGCCACTGTTTGTTTTATATTGTTTTTTAATTTGATTGGGAAGTTTCTCTGACCCCATTACTCTGTATTTTCAGAAGAGCAGGACAGAAGAGCAACAGGGCAGGGACCAGGAAGATTTCAAGTTTGGAGGCTCAGGAAGTCAAGTGATAGAACGAGAAGAAATAAAGCAGGGTGAGGTGAAACTCCTTTGCTTCCATGACCTCCGAAGGGAAGTGATGATGTATCTGAAGGACACTGCACACGACGATGTAACAGAAAGAAGGAAGCAAAGGTTGCACTAATTGCAGAGTTTGCCAAGAGTGGACTAGCTGCCAAGGCTACTTCAACCTTCCCATGATCTGGGAGACAGCACAGTGTCCTGCTGTGCTGGACGTCTTCCAGTGGCATTGACCCAATAGGGGGGTTGAGGAGAAGACTTCTTGGTATTAAGAAAGAGAAACTTCCCTCCAAAGTCAAGCTACTGAACCACCTACATGTGAGATACAAGAGGACTGACCAAGACCCCTTGAATCCCAGCAAGAATGCTGAGAGCAGACTTAAGGTAAATCAATGGACTGGATCCCTTTGCAAATCAAATTTTTTTAAGAGTTCATTACACACAAATTTGCATCCAATTTCATTTCCAGAGATTCATGCTCATTCCTGCACTGACCATCAATCTGAAGATGTTTATTCGAGATCAGCGTCTTCCTAGAACCTTGACAAGACTGGACTGAGAGTCAAGGAGGTACAGCTCTAGGCCACCACCCCACCATCACCACCACCACACTTTCTTTTTTTTAATTTTTTTTAACGTTTATTTATTTTTGAGACAGAGAGAGACAGAGCATGAACGGGGGAGGGTCAGAGAGAGAGGGAGACACAGAATCTGAAACAGGCTCCAGGCTCTGAGTGGTCAGCACAGAGCCCGACGCGGGGCTCGAACTCACGGACCGCAAGATCATGACCTGAGCCGAAGTCGGACGTTCAACCGACTGAGCCACCCAGGTGCCCCAACCACCACACTTTCTAGGTCCCTAGGCAGTCTGGTCATTTTGTCAGCCGGTCATTATTTCTCCTGACAAAACCCAAATTGGGAAACCAATATGATCTTTATTTCTGGTTCTCTCTATACATACCAGTCCAGGTACCCAGTCACTGATGAATTTTAATCCTCATTTTCATTTCTCAACTAGGGCTTCCAGTTCCTACTCTGCCAGCCTCATCTGGTGGAGCCGCTCCTAAGGCTCCTGATGAATCCAGACACCCACCTCAGCCTCACTCTAGGAATCCATCCTTCCCCAAAATGCCTGCGTTTGACCACTGGAGGGCAGTGCTGGACCAGCCAAATCTCTTTAGGGGCTCTGCTCCACCACTGTCCCCACCTTGCCCTGGCATAAGCAGCATGCAGCCTCTGGTTGGGAGCCAAAACCGAGGACCACGGGAGCACCCTGAGAGCAGCAGCACGGCCAGCACTGTTACAATGGCTCCCCGCGCCTGGCGTCGTAGGAATAAAAGGCAGTTCATTGGAAAGAGGATTTGGCTCCATAGGTGACACAGTCCCCTGGGAAAGAAACTGAAAGGAAAACTTGCCTCATCATGTCATTAAGCAGGAACAATCTGTGCCTCTGACCAGGGGTTGTAGACTCCTACCTTTTTCTACCCTCTCGGATGTAAGCTCCTGGCAGCACATACAGTGCTTGGCAATAAACGTCTGTTGAACGAGTGAACGGATGCATGCATGCATGTATATATATGCATAATGGAAATTGGCCATTTTCAGATCTGCTGCTGTTTTCTAGCTCTTATAACATCGGATGTTTCAGCCATCAATTAGTTGCTGAGCATTCATAGTCTTGGAGACAGCTAAGGATAGTCAGGTTATTAATTACAGCAGTGGCTGTCATTGTACAGATGTTATTTCAAACACCACTTCAAGAATTTCGATCTCTTACTTTTAGGAAGTCCTTCATTATGTCACCCACGTGTCCTCAGACCTCACCAGCCTGTGGATTTAAAAATACAGACATTGTTCCCTTAATATCCGACCCACGGTAACCGCAGCCTCTCTTGTGGGAATATGAAGCCGCCATGCTCTCCCTGGGGGATTTGTGGTAATTTCATCCCACACTGGAACCCCACGGGGCTCGACAACTCCTCTGAGCCAGAGCTCCTATTCACACCACCTTGGGCCATCTCATGAGACTCAGGTCTAGGCTACTCTCCCCTGTACCTGCCCCCGACAGATCCCATGGCAGTGTGGACACAGCCTGCTCCCACAATCATTTAGAACACAACTACATACTTGAGGAGAGAAAGAAGTGCACATCTTGAGACGCCAAAACCCAACATGAGACCCTCCTGTCTCCCCCACGGGCTTTCACATAGCAGGAACCAGTCTGTGCCCCCGTTAAAAATCTGCAGGTATCCCCACATCTCCAAGTTCAGAACCCAAGACTAGCTCCTTTCCTGCCCTGAACCAGGACAGGGGAAAAAATCATTTCCTGCCAAGAAGCTCTCCCCACACCCTCCAATGTCTCAGGTAGAGTGTGGCCTTCACAGCCCAACAGGGCAAACATGGTGTTTTTAGGTCTTAGAACACCACTTATGGGACACCAATGTCCCTGATTAAATTCATATGGGATGGGGGTAGAACCTGCCCCTCATTCTAATTAGAAAGACACCAATTAATTTTTTTAACTTTATTTATTTTGAGAGAGAGAGAGAGCTCACAAGCAGCAGAGAAAGAGGGAGAAAGAGAATCCCAAGTGCAGAGCACTCGAAGCAGGGCTCAATCTCAAGAACCATGAGATCATGTCCTGAGCCAAAATCAAGAGTCAGACGCATAACTAACTGAGCCACCCAGGCACCATGACACCAACTAATTTTTAACCGAACACTTACCATCTTAGTATATAACATCTGCATTTAGTTGGTTGTTTGTTATTTTTTAGAGAGAGAGAGAGAGCTCACACACTCAAGAGTGGGGAAAGGGGGCAGAGAGAGAGAGAATCTCAAGCAGTTTCCATGCTCATCGTGGATCCCAATGTGGGACTTGATCCCATGACCCGGGACCATGACCCAAGCTGAAATCTAGAGTCAGACACTCAACAGACTAAGCTGCCCAGGGGCCCCTGCCTTTAGTTTTATGATAACTTCATCACCTCGACAGCAATGAGTGGATATTTGTTTTAGGTGTGAATAAACTTATTCTCAACCTTACGTCAGTTTTCTCAACAAAAAAAAAGAGTGCTCTAAACTTCACCGAGAGTCTCTACTCTCCCAACAGAACCCGAACATGCCCAACAGTCTTCGAGGAGACGTTCTCCAACCAAAGTGGGGGAAAAAGGAAAGAGAAGAAAAGCCCTCGCTTTGTAAGTTGTAAGTTGTATAGTTGTAAATTTCTAACTGAAATTTCACTATACAGTTCAAATCTAGGTCCTCAGAGGACATGGCTGGTCCTGATCCTTCTCATAAAAAGTCTGTAATCAGAGGATACTTTCCTGAGAGCAAACAGAAATTGAAAAAACAAAAAACAA